TGGGTATAAATACCCGCCGCATTGCCGATACGGGGCGTTCTTGTGCTTCAATAAATCTGCACAGAAGTCATTGCAACACGCACATCGCCCAAACCAAAGGGCAAAGGCAAGCTAGCCACCAACCAAAAAGCTCTTGTCCCCAAACCGGGACACGCTTCATTCCATTGCATAATCTTATTTGATTGCACATCTCTCGTCACTCATGCGACGTATACTTCGGGGAAAGAATGGTAACGGGAGAAGTGCCAGGTGTTCCTACCAGGACCCACAGCCGGGTTACGATGAGAAACGAGTCCCATGCTAAATTTTTCATTCCTGTTTCTTCCATACACATTAATTTGTATAACATATGTCATGTCTAAGTTAAAAGAATAGGAGACAACGCCCAGACAAAAATGAAGGTAAGGGAAAAAGAAAGGCTGCGTCTCTCGCCTTTCTAATACGCGTCCCCTCCATTTTATGGTTTATTGGTCCTGGTTAGGAGAAAACATCAAACTTTAACACTCCGAACCTAAAATATACCTATATAAAGACTTCAACAAAGACTTCCTTGTTGTCAACAACATGTCGGGGAAGTGACAATAAAAAATGATGCGAGAGCGAGACAGACAACGTAGAACAATTAAAGCCGCCGAGACCTAAAAAGTAGGAACTCACTGCAAATATAGAACGAATGAAGACATTCTGGCAAGAATTACCTGATCACAAATTATGACATCACTTTTTACGCACAGGCAAACGTATACTGCAGCAAGACACATCCTAATATATGCACATAGAGCCCACAGATAACCAAAAATGACGCGGGGAAACCACTGTACAACCGTTATGTCTGAATTTTCATTTTTCCTCACTTGTAGAATCTATTTGTTTATGATCTCAGTAAGCAAGTGTACATAAAATGCAGCAACGCATCCTAGCGCTGGACTGCAATACGGTACGGACTAACTTCGTTTTTTTTTCAGGTGAATGACATGTCTCGAATTACAGAGGTAAGTTACGTAATCAGCTGGAAAATGGTGCGCTGCCGCGCTTAGTCCATTCACAAAGACTGTTCAGCAAGCATTCTATTTTACAGTACTATGAGGTTTACGAAAAGCAGCTGTATGAAACTACTGCAAATGGAATTTTAATTACCTAGACTTTTCGTTTCCTTGAAGGCATGATTAATATCGTACTGGTTGGTGACGATCTTCACTTGATGGCCTTTGTTCTGAAGCGCTACAGCAGCATCAACAACCAGTCGCTCCGCGCCTCCAATACCCAAGTCGGGGTGGAGAAATGTTACACGCATATGCCAGGTTGCACAGATACCAGTCAAATCTGAGAATTGGCGAATTATAAAAGTAAAAAAAGATCCTGAAAACAAATTCCAAAACAGCAGGACGTTGAACCAGTATTTTCATGAATTCTCACGGGTTTCACCTGATTATACCAACCATTAGAAGTTTTACTAATTTCGAGAATCTATTATTGGCAACGGATCTATGGAAATCAGAATGCGGTAAGTGAAAAAGTCATCAACCAATCATGCATAAGTGAGCAAATCACAAAATAATGCCCTTTAAAAAACAGTCTAAACTACAGAAAAAATGAGCCCGAGCTAGGTATACAACTTCTACTTGCTACCGAAATGAAACATGGAAAAATCGAATTGGTCAACATCATTTAAAACAGCAACACGAAAGAGATGAAAATAATTTCTATCAAAAAGGCATCATTGATCAATCAACCTTAGGAAAGTTCTTCAATAGCCTTCACACAATTGTCGAGAAGGCTGCTTGCACCGATTCGGAAGAGTTCCGGAGTGAGCCAATCTTCCCCAAGAATCTGCAATTCAGGATGATAGGTGATGGGTAAAACCAGAAATACAAGGTGCGACATTATAATTGCGGAAATGCAATCAATGATCAGGGAGTAGACGTACAAGAACAAGCTTCAGCCAATATAATTTCCATTTTTCTTCCATGTGGACCGGAAAGAACAGTGATTTTCTTTACTGGAGACGGCGACTTAAGACTTGATTCCTTTGCTTCTCACTGGCAACACCACACTAAGTGTGTTCGCTTCATTCTATTCCCCTTTTCATCCCATTTCATGCGTGGACACCCTTCACTTGCCTCAGAGTAGTACTAACTCTTCTACACCTTTTTTTGCTTACCATTATAACTTTCCATTTAAGTAGCAATCATCCCGCTCTTAATAACGAAAACAGTAGAAACGTAGCTGGGGGATCCCAGGGACGGTAGAATCGCGCGATTCGAATTGCGAGGCGAAATTCACAGCGATTTTGACGACTTTAGTGCCTAGTATTGGAGCTCAAATTTGATGTAGCGAAGATAATAGGATCAGCCGATTCTACTAATCTGCACTACTCCAAGTTTGTGCCCCAATAATAAGCGCCAGAGTCGTTCGAATCGCCACAAATTTCGCCGAGCGCGGTCCGAATCGCACGAATGTACACACATTCGGGGACACCTAGTCGCCCACATTAAGCGTTAGACCGCAGATGAGAGTTGACCAGCTCTAATTAACTTAAGGCGCCACACAATCGGCGAACTGCTAAGGCTACCTTGTTAATAACAAAAAAAGAGAACGTACATTTTTAACAAGAGCAACGTAAGCAAGAGCCTCCAGTGGTGTTTTAATCCCTCCAGCTGGTTTGAAGCCTACCTGCAAATCTAATCTTATATACAGCAAAGAAAGCGGAAAAACAAACAAAGAACAAAAAAAAAACAAAATAAAATTTTACAATGAACCGTTCCAAACATACTTTCTTGCCTGTTAGCTCATACCATCTCTTGATAGCGGAGCACATTACAAATGATACTTCCAAGGTAGCATTTGTAGTCTCTTTCCCCGTTGACGTTTTGATGAAGTCGGAGCCTATAATAAATGTTATGAATACTATGTGGTCGTTGAGCAAATTCGAAAACTCTCACCTGCCAGAATGCTGGCCCAACTTGCTTTGTAAACATTTGCCAAACTTTTGAGTTCTCCGGTGGCCAGAATTGTTTTAAGGTGAGCGCTGCCACAGGCCGTTTTCAGCGCCGCAACTTCGTCATAAACAGCTAAAAAGACGAAGTGAGACTGAATTGGCAGGGGTGTGTTGCGATTCGTGCGATTCTGAGTGCGCGCGACAAGTTGCGCGGCGAAATTCGGTGCGATTCGGACGACTGCAACGTTTATCATTTCGGCCTAAATTTGAAGTAAAGTAGGTTAGTAGGATTGTCCGACCCAACTAAAGTACTCTACTTCAAGTTTGTGCCCCAATGGCTACTTTCAGAGTTCGACGACCGTCCGTCCGTCCGTCCGTCCGTCCGTTCAGCGCGTGCTGCGACGGCGGTCGCTAGAGTAGTGTTGACGGCGCTGGCAAGTGATTCAGTGTGTCGACAACGGTCAGGCGCCGCCGTCGCGGCACGCGCTGAACGGACGGACGGACGGACGGAAGGATGAATCGTTGAGGTCTGAAAGCAGCCAATGATAGAAGCAGGTTGTTTGTATCATCGCGAATTTCGCGGCGCAATTTGCTACGCGCACTCAGAATCGCACGAATCGCTCGTCCCTAAATTGGCAGAAATATGCGGAAAAGGGACCTTCATTCTACATTCAGCTCAGCAAACTAACTAACTCTATAATTCTACGAGGTGACGATTTCCAGCGAAACTCCTGGTAAGGTAGAGTTGGAAACAATTAGTCTGCTCAATATTACACACGTACTTTCCCATTCGCCTTCGAGGGCAGCAGCACGACTGATAACAATATCAATCTCATTTGCACCATCTGCCACTGTCAACTGCACTTCTAACAACTTCGATTTCAAATGATACTGTCCTGAAGGGAAACCCGCAGCAACTGAAATAATTCATTTCATACCATAGGAGGGAAGCAGCAACCAAATATATACGCAAATGATAGGAAACAAACCTGCTGCAACATTGAACTTCTTTTTTATGTCTTTTAGATGGCTGGCTACGTTGTGCACGCGTTGCGGATAAACACAGACAGCAGCGCAAGTAACTGAAGGGTCCTGAATTGGTAAAAGAGCACATTAGTGGTTTTGAATTGTCGCAAATGTTCCTATAAGTGCGATCTCCCCTTCACGTTACCTGAGGCTCATCTTGCGTTTTCACTCCACTAAATCAATCATTACATTGCAATCACTGACATTAATGATCTCTTGCTTCAAAGATTCTTTCTTTAATTAATTTTATTTTTCTAAATCATGCTTACATCTATTCAATCTTATATGCAGCTCCAAATTAACTACTTAGGCTTAAATCTTTTAAAGGCTATCTTTGAATGCTATCCCACTCTGTTTTGAAAAAGCGATAAACAAGGCTCCTAAAAGACAAAATCCAACTAACAATCAATGCTTTCTAATTATCTAGGGGAAAAGTTTCAAAACTTCTTACACCGGGAATCGGAGAGAGAGCTCTATCCACAAGCTTCTCGACTCTACTCTTGGTGTCGTCTCCAGCCAACGTGGTCAGATCTATGTAACTGACAACTTTTCGCACCTGCTCCTTCTGAAGAGTAGAAAGGTCTATCATACAGAACAATTCTATTTTAAATTCAGAGGAAGAACCACTCCGTAAAACAACTTTTCTAAAAGAAGCATGAACTGACCTGTTTCGATAATTCTGCACCTTCTTTTTCATAACGAGCAGTGGCTGATGCAATTTCCTTCGGGTCGAAAGTTCGAGATGTTTCTTTTTCAAATAACGCTCGATCAAATACTCCCATCTAAAGTTACATAGTAAAAACACTAGCAAAACGACTATGGGTGCGCTAAGCGGAAAAATGTTTCAGGCATAAAAATGGCACCCGAAACCGTTCACAAAACGAGTAAAAAAAGGGCTTCGAGCGCAAATAATTCCGGTCGCGGCTAATTGTTTTTATAGCACTGGCAAAAAAACAGGCAACGATGAATAGCTTTTTCGATCGCGGTAGAAATCAATCGATCTCACGGAATTTACAGCACCCAGTGGGGCGATACGCGCTTTTGCAAACAAAGACTCCCTTACTGATTACATACGTTAAAGTGCAAGGGGAAAGGAGATGTAAGTTTGTTCCTCCTACATTCTCTAACATAAAAATCCCCTTTAATTCTCTCCACCAAAATAAACATTGGAAAACAGGTTCATACAGTGTACGTTATGGGAGATAGCGGAAATGGGGCACTGTCTGAGGGTTCATTTCCCTTGCATGGTTCGGAGATCGAATTAGAAGTTAATACCCGCTGAGGCCTGCCAAGCGCCCTCCCTTTGGGGCAGATTATTGGTGGCTAGATTCTCTATTGAGATGGTAGCGCTTACTTTATTCGTAGATTACGTATAGGCCACTTATTCATAGCACCACCACGATTGCGAATTGGTTGAATAAACGAATGCATCCTTCAATCCGCATACCCAAATCATTCTTTATTAATGCCGAAATCTGTAATCTTAATCTGGTCCTTTACATTATGGATTCGGTATACGAATGCCGATACAGTAATAGTTACCGAGCAGTAAATTGCAAGCTGCAAGGTCGACTGGAGAATTCCACTCCAGATCAGCTTGTTAGACCGTCGCTGTTTACTTCCGTTCATTCCTGGTGACGTCCTTTCCTTCCCTGCGTTGATTCTTCTCACCCGCCTTCCTCCCAACTACTACCTAAGCTCTTACTCCCGCACATCTCCCGCAAGTGACTTTAGTCGCTTGCACGCTAACCTTCTTTCTTGTTTCCTCAGACTAGAGAAGACCGAGATTGGGGAAGCTTCCCTTCTCCCACATTGTCGGTCTTCCAATCATTTGTTCTATGCACATGCTTCCAAGAACAGTTTTATTTGTTTTCACCACAAAATAATACCAGAAATAGTGTACCAGCCGAATCGCCCAGCCAACACTGGGTTTCCCCTCTCCTTATGACAACGTTGTAATAATCGACTGACCAGCCACTCCTTCTTTGGTACAAATGATATTTTACTCTGCATTTCACACAGGATGAACGGGGCAAATGGTATTCAATGTGTGCCGATGCTTGCGCCTAGGAAAAACGAATCCTGATTCACTCCTTCCTAGAAGATCACGACGACTACTCCTTAACTTTCCGACTCAACAAAGGATTACCTATTCTCTTTTTCCTATTTCAGTTGCTATAAAACCTATCCGGCCACCAATCCGGAGACCACGGGGAATTCATGAAAATCCGACTAGTTAATCCACGATGCGCTAATCCCATTGTACATTTACACGACGGTGGTGATACTCCTTACCTCATCGCCAAAAAGCTCTTCGTCTGCCGCCAAACCATCTACAGGAGTCTTAAGAGGTACTATGAGACATGTGCGACTGCTTTCGGTCCTTGATGTGGAAGACCACGCACCGCGACGACTTCTGCGAACCGAAGAACCGTCAAAAAGCGCATTGACAGTAATCCTAGTCGCAGCATGTGAAAATGGCCAAGCTGTTCAGGATCTAGCGACAACCAAGAACTTACAGGGAAAGGTAGAGACATTAGATTTAGGTCTGAGTGATAACAGCGGTAGCACCAAATCAGCGTCGAAAGTAACGTACACGCAACTGGGCCACATTGTTTTGTCGATGCTAAAAATCACAGACCACCTGCAAAGTGAGCTAAAAGCTTGATAAGAAGCATTATTACGGGATTTCCTTATGATTCAAAGCATCGAGGTCATTGGACAGCCTCATCACCATTGATATCAGTCCACGTCCATATATACAGAGCAGTTTATTCTGTATTGTACAATATGATTCCACGCAATTTAACGCGCAAAAATTTTTTTAAAGAAAGCTACCACGTTTGGTCTTTCTGAAATCTGGGCATTTTTATGTTTTACACTACTTTCTACCATTAGAAAATGCTCTGTGATCTCCGTCACAGTTCTTGGAGCTCAAGTGCTACGCGTAGTATTGGAAGAAATTGTGATACGAGTATCAACATTTCAACAAGATCCATCAACATAGGAATATAAGATAAAAAGGATTAAAAAGAGATCGGCATAAAAAATGTGAAAAAAGTCAGCTTTCATATTTGGATATGATTATCGGCACTTCGAAGCAACGTAACCAGTCATCACGATTACCCGCGAGGATGTATCGCTTTCCTTCAGGAAACAACACTTTTGAGAAAACACTACCATTTCCTAAACGAAAGCCATGCACTTCATTTTCGCCTCCTGAAAAGACAACCAGTAATCCATTTGATGATACAAGCACATAAACAGAGGTAGCAATTCGATGTGGAGGTACTGTAAAAGAACATCCTATGAACTGAAAACAGCGAAGAATACAAAGGTTCTCATCCACTATGAATAACGAGCCGCGTTGTGTTGCAGCGTAGACAAGACCATCGAAAACAACCACAGAAGCAAACATAGGTTCTTTGACTGCGACTGAGCCTTCCTGAAAACTTACTTAGTTCTTTAGTGTCCCAAAGCCTCATAGAAAAAGGATGCAAACTTTATCGCCGCTGTCCAACCGTATCTTCGTTATTGTTCCGTCAACTGCAGTGATATAACCGATGTGACAGAGGGCCGTTATGGATGAAAATATTGGAGAACCGACCATGAAGCTCCAACAGTGTTTTCCATTACTCTAAAAAGCCAACCAACTAGTTACAATTAGAGGTACCATGATAAAGTGCATACACCAATACAGCCAAAACTTTAGTGATTTGGCCTCACAGCAGGACTGTTCTATTGTTTGTTTTTCAGGTTTATCTTTTTAGTCTGGACCGAAATCTCTCCGCTGCCTTCTATGTATTTTTGTTTTTCATTGTTTACTCATGAACGAGCCCACAACAGGCCATATTATGTATGGATAAAACAATGGGAAATTATTGCACAAAGCAGGTCTGATGCAGTGCATCGCAGAGACTTGAATCAGCAATCGCTTGATAGAAGCAAAATTGCAGAGTTGGCAACCCCTAGGAGTCGAGAAGGAAGATATGGAGAGGAAGGCCACGGGTTTGCGGGAGAAAAATTCGCCAGAGATCAAGAGCACAGGAGGACGTGGTAGTTTCTAAAAGTCGTTCTTCATCTCGGCAGTGCCGGCAGTGTATCAGTCAGGAAACTCCCTAGCACGATACCATTACAAGGCACCCTCTCATCAACCTAGTTCGAGCTCAACTATTCTTTACAATCTCGTCGATTCCCAACAATCGGGTAACCACCTACCGATTGATGTAAATGGTATGCTCTAGTCAAGCTGAGAAAGTGTATTTGTTAATATAGAACCTAAGAAACGAAAACTGAGTTTTTGTCACATCCAGAAATTTCGCATAGTCACGAAAAGACGGAAAAATAGCACCTAAAAACTGTACAAAACAGTATGAAATACTGACCGAATCAATGGCTTCAACACTACCTTTGATGGTCGTCACCAAAACAAATTCATTCCAGAGTACCGCCCTTGCTGGAGATCCACTTAATATCTTGCAGGACCAGCAAATACTCTTGAGCTAAAAATGAGTTTTGTCTCATGAGTAAAGAAAACTCATATCGGCAGGGAAAGATAAAACAGGATTACTGTCAAGCCTGCTCACCTTGGTGTTCAGTTTATAGAGTGTCTTCTCATATGATGTAACATACACAAAGCCAGGATCTACACATACACATGGTGCTTTGATAATGTCGTTGGTGGGAAATTTCCACTCGACACGGCCAGAGAAGACGGATAAAAAATAGACGCATCCGTCGAGTCCGCCTAGAAATGAGCAAATTTCATTGAAAATAACATGCTCAGTGAAGGTTGAGTCTAATAGTTATGCGCTGCCAAATTGAAGATTTTAAGCGGAAATGTTGCCAAACAAATAGCCAATCCTAGAAATATATAATTTGCTGTGTGTGACGGGGTCATAATTCCTTTTGCTCCGGGCTTAGAGGATTCAAATTCGGAAGATATACAGGAGACAAGATGCGCAGCTGATGGTAGATTCACAAGAAGCAATATTAATCGATAGGAACTGATAAGGAACCTTAGAGGACTAGAGGATCAGGATTAATCGCGTTCTTCTTTCTGACAATGGAACCCTTGCTCTTTGCAGGTGATGATTGTTGTAAATGGACCGTTGATACAAATAGCTGATAACAACTGGTAGAGGCTGATAAAGAGCCGTGAAGGTATGGGTAACTGAAATGGTCGCGCCCTTTGTCATCAGTGGAACCTTGACACTTCGAAGATTGATGTAGGATGCGAAATAGATTACATGAGCTTGATAGAGACTAATAACAAGTGTTAAGTTCTGATAAATCGCCAAAGATGGTGAGGCCTTAACCCTTCGTCTTAACAAAAGAACCTTGGCGCTTGCGCAAGGGATGCGTCGAAATCGTGGATACTTGGTGACAGCAACCGATAAGAGCTGTTAGTACCGATAAAGAGCAATAATACGCAAGAGCCGTGAGTTGTTGTCTCCCGTCGGGTGAACAGTGGAAGCTAAAACATGTAACCATCGTGGATAGTTAGGCAGACAGAGCGATAACAACTGAAAAGCGTTGATTATTGTCACTAGACCGCTTTTTCTTTTCATGTGGCAGCCTGTCTCTTCGTGTGTAGTACGGGTCATGGATGACGGGTTACGGAAACAGATAAATGTTGATCATGGCCGATGATAAATCTCAGAGCGTTGTTACCCAGTCGCTATATATCCCTTTGATATATGACACTTCGATATGTTTCGCATGGTGAAATGGGATGATCGAATAGACGCACTACCTCACATGCGTGGCCGCGGGTTCGAATCCCGTACCGATGCCCGCCTAAGGCACCTAAACCTTCCACCCCTCCGGAATCGGTTAACTGACCCAGACTCGTCTGGGAGTATAAATGCTTTGACTTGTACATCAGCTGCCCACCGCAAGAGATTGTATGAGCCACATACGCATTCAATACGCCACTACGATTGCGAGTGAAGTCGATACGACTCGTATGCGCATCCCTCAGACGGGATTGTTTAATGCTCCGAGACTTTGTCCTTTACCCTTTATCGATTCCCACAATACCTGAACGACCGACCGAGTTCCAGAAAAATCGGTGCGCCAGCGAATTCAACGAAGGAAAGCTTTGGGTTCCTAATGGTTGACTATGTTGGGACCAAGTGCAACAGATGTAGATTTTCAGGCTTGAACAACAGGTGCCCCATACAATCAGATTTGTGGTGCAGATGAAATTGAAGGAATACTACTTCAAAAATTTCTGATCACAAATGAACCATTTGTTCCGAAAAGATGAATGAAAAACCGTGCATTCCGACTCTGTAAAAGGGAGGAGGGAATCTGGCGTAAGCTGGGCGACCCGATTTCTAAAAAAAAAGTTTTGGAGAATGCACAAACCTGCGACGATGCAATCATTACAACGTTCCAAAGAAGCCTCGAATCGACACGAGAAGTGGCTCTAAGTAGGACAAAGTAGCATAGTCTGATTGGAATCCTTACAATTACCTTCCACAGACAAAAGCCATCACTGATACGAACGCACACGATGAGTCCGGAGTGCGAAGCAGCCACAACATGTTCTCCTTCTGGGAGTCTTAAATAATTCAAGTGAAGCCTCTACAAATCAACAAATCAAGCAAAATGCTGATAACATACTCAATGAGGAGTGGCGTACTGTCGATACACTTCCCCAAACAAAAGGCCCATTTAGTAGCCGGTTGAGAATCCACAATAACGGACAACTCTTTGCAAACGTTGCTTAAGCTCTCCCGATCTAGGGCCAAATTGTTCCATTTGTTAGAAAACATATACTTGTCAGGGAGAGAAGCTGAATTAAACTACCTGATGTAGACCATGAGCAACTGGAATACTTTTCTAGCACAGCAGCCATAGTATTCTGAGGAGACAAAATGTCATGTAACGCTTCAACGTCCCCCAGAAGTAATGCTATTTCTGCTGCCTCAGCCGATCGTATTCCGAAAAAATCATATTCAATTCCTATTTTGCAGTACTATCCTACGCAAACCCTACCGTAATCAATAAAGGAATGAAGCGATAAACCAGTGGCTGACTTTATGCCGAATTTTGCCAGGAATCTGAGCACGGAAGAGAGTGACTTCAAATGATTGAAACGCTCTTCCTCCAGTATCGCGATCAATCGCGAACGATCCGTCTTTCCTGAAGTACATATAGACATGAGCAAAACGAGTACAAAATGAACAGGCAGGAAACCTACCGTTTGAGTTCACCGGAACATGATCCAAGTAGATTATTTTTGCCGGGAAATGTGCGAGAGGAAGGACCTCTTTCAAACATCGTTCCACTGGTGAAGCGGATTTAACGAATAATACCAAGAACTTTTCTCTGCACAACAGGAATTGAGCAAATACAATCCCATCCAAACTCGCAACTTGCTCGGAAAGAAAAGCGAGATTGCAGCGAGTACCATTAACTTTGACCTAAACCACATAGTTCCAAAAATCAAAAACAGAATACATATGTAGGGGGAACGTCGTCAGAGCCTTCTTAGTTTTTTGAGACTCACTGCTTCCGGAAAAGAGCCCATATTCGCAGCGAGTCGAAAAATGATTGAATGATAAGCCTTACTTTCGATTTCATATTATAGTGGATTATATATAGTAAGGGTAACAGGCATTCCTAAGCCTAGAACCTCCAACGACATCATGATACATGAAGGATGATCGAATTATGCCGTCACCGAGAGGATTTGATCAGCAAAAACTCTCAAGGAAATACTAGTGATTGTTTCTCTGCGAAAAATGATGGGCTAAAAACAAGGATTGTCGTCATGGATGCCGATCTACGAATCAAGAAACCACAAAGAATCAAATAATGTCGGACTGACTGTTTCTCTGTTTGTCTGTCTGTCAGTATGTTTGTTTGTTTGCACGGAAATTCGGTATTACCTTAAGCACCTGCAAAAGTCGTGTCAAGTTTGGGATTTGTTAGGAATAGGGAAAGATCAACAGAGCCCATGCGAGCTCATTGGAGCTCCGCCCCACAAGGGGTGGAACACGCACACCGGCAGGCAATGCAATGGGGAAAATTTCCTAATTAGGTTGCACAACAGCCCAGACGCCGAGAACATATTAGAAAAAATAAGGAATCAGTCAACAAATGGAACGAAGGAGGCTTACCCGCGGTGAGCGAAGCGTTCTTACAGTAGACGGTGTTTTCTAAATAAGTGCTACAGGAATCAGTGAAAACCTGGAGGCTAGAAATTATGAAGAGCGACCAATGTCATTGTGTGCTTAGCGAAGCTCCGCCTACGATGAGAGGGGTGTGCCTTAAAATGTAAGGTACCTAATGAAACTCTGTTCGAGAACAGTGTGAAACGAAGGGAGGTGAGAAGATCGAGGCTCGTCTCAGCGGAAATCAATGAACCAATAGGTCAGTAACAAACACCTGATCGTCCAATCTTCCAACAATGAAGTATTCGCTTCCTTTCATTTCAGCAATGTCTCCTGTAGATGTGAATTCTCCGGCAAGAACACCATCAATAAAACACCGCCTCGAGCCACCTGACAAAATCGCGCAGCTTTGAGTAGAGATTTCTAACAATAATTGTGCATTAAATAAGATAAAACTGGATCAGAACAAACTAATGACAGATAGAAGCTAAACTTTAGATACCTATAAGCAATTCGCCGTTGTCCTTTAGTGCCAGAGTAGTGCACCTCAAAGGAGCACCGACACTTACCCTATCGCATCTGAAGCAGAATCAAAATTATTGGGACGCATTTCTAACAAAACCTCCCAATCAAAGACTTCCACCTGACATGCAGTCTATTTATACATTTTTTTATCCAATGGGATTGCCATTACACAATACATATCCCACCAGCGGATATCGCGCTAAGACTGCATCGCAGCTCAATAACATCCCCCTCAAATGAAACGCACGCAGGACATCCCGTACTCTCTTCCAGATTAGTTGCCACTCGAGACTGCCTCCTACAAGTCATCTACCGACTGTGTTTCATGAAGACACTCTTTTAGTCAAACATGTGGCGGACTTTCAACCGTACCGTAACCTCCCTCTAGAAATTCACATCTTGGCTTTCACTGCACGTGATCGGAGCGACACGTGGCATACTCTCACTAAAGTATTCACTTAAACACCTTTACAATTACTCAGACGCCTGCCGCAACGAAACACCTTGAAACCTGATGCTGCTCTGTGCTAGAGGTTTGTTATGATAAGGATGTGGTGCAGCAGAACAGTATAGAACACTGTGTAACATACCCAGGTTTGAAGCGTACTGAACATGGAAGTCATTATAATTTGAAAAATTTTCGACCTGAACTTCACTTCAGAGATAGCAGCCCAGCATGACACTTCAGTGACACCATAAACATTGAAAATCTGGGTCGTGTTTGAAGACGTGCGAAAACGATTTACAAGACTCAGCGGAAAATGTTCGCCACCTGCAACTCGATTATTTCTCTCTATCTAAAAATCGTGATTGACCAGAAAAACTACACGATTAAGATAACTATCACAGAAAGCACGAAGCCCCGTTGACCAAAGAGAAACGTTGTCGAAATAGATTGTCCCAACACATAATTACACCAATTTTTCTACCGTACGGAACATCGCAGCTGTGTGCATGAATATGCGTATGTGTGTCGGTGTGTGTGTGTCCAACTATAAGTTCATAACTTCGGTTACTGTGGACCTAGAGGGTCTTAATTTGGCAGGGTAAGAGATGGTAGGATGGAACCCTGATGATAGGTAACAGAACTGAACCTCGCCCACAGAGGCGGTACGAACGCGGAAGTTAGTGCTTAAGGGGGGAGAACAGTGAAGATAGGTGGCAGAACTGGACTCCGCCCACAAGTGGCAGAGCCTCCGTGAGAATTCTCGATTTGGACGTGGGGCATTGAAGTTTGGTAACGGTTCAGGGCGGCAGCATGGAAGCGCTAATGGGAGGTCACACCCTGCGTAAAATGAGCGCAATCTGTGTAAAAGCGCACAGTCAAGTTGGAATAAGTGGGAAGTTAACCATGTTACGTAATCACACACGACTTGAGCAGGACTTTGCTTACGGCGGGAGGGGCATGGGCGAAGTGTGGCAGTGTGTGTAAGCGTGTTTCACCCGAAAGTGATAACTCCTGTTCTCTTGAACCGGACCTTGCAAATTTGGAAGAATGCGGGCAGCTGTTTAACTTCAATACAAGAGGGGAGGAAGCCCGGTGTCAGCCCCTTCGATCCGATTGGCATCATGTGACACTGATACTCTTCATTCAACTGTTATGTAACTGAACAATGGTAACTTCCACTACATTTTTCTGTGCTGAATAGCTTTTTTTGTAAATCACCAATCGGCCTGGCAATTCTATATAATGGATCCTCTGAATTTTGTCAGGCTCGGAGTGAGCCTCCCTTCTTTAGGGAAAATTTAGAATACCTAGCCAATTTACAATCAGAACATAACCGATCTCGTACTAATGAGTAAACATGCTGTGTTCAAAATTTTTGGATGAGAAATGCTCGGAATAATGCAGACATCATACTGTTACAAGCCAACATGGGATAAGGCACAAACAGAGTAATATCCTTCCAATATATAGAACAACAACTTGAGGTGCCGGTCCGTCAGTCCACCCGCATAACTCCTCATGGTTAATGAAGGTAGCGGTTCAGCAAACTCACCAGCAGATGAGGTGTTAACGGTAATGGTGGTGCGATGGCAGTGATAGCGCCAACGATGAAGGCAAGCTTTGAGATTCTGCTACATAAAATTTGCTAAGCGTGCTACGTCAACAGGAAAAAGTTTAAAAGTTTTGCGGGTGGTGTGGGACGTGGCGGGATCGTAGATATTCGGTGACAAAAACTAACAACAGAAAGGGAGCTATCGAAGGCATCTGTCATAGACTCGATTGCGCCCATTGCTCTAAGGAAAGAAAATTCACTTTAAGGGAAATGGAGGATGTGATGGGTCCCAAGATAATAGGTGATAGGTACCGATAACAGTTGATAAGAGGAGACAATTTTTACTACAAATAAAGCACTCGCGTCCGTTTGCCTTTCAAGAAATTCGATAATACCTGATAAAGCACGTGGAGACTCGATTATGTTTTCGATGGGTTTGGCACAGGATAAGAACCAAGGTCTTGTCCTTGAAATTGTTCGATGATGTAGGCTTCTTGGAGGACCCGCTTGACCCCGTATTATTAGGGGCGCTCTAAATTCGTCTCCAACTTAGGAGCCACAGCGGATAAGGATCGTCAATTTGAACGACAATACGAGGCTTCTCTGAGCTCTAGGTCAACTATTTCAAACTGCCTCGGAAGAAACGTATCGTCGTCTACAGAATTCATTACGCCGCTGCGATGAGGGAGCGCAGACAAAAGTGAGTAGCCTTATACAGGCGAAATGCGTAGGGGAACTGGATAAAATGTCAAGACTCTTTCGATGAACCCTCGGTGCAGCGTTATTCCAAGCAGTAACCGCGGACGTGGTCATCCGGTTTGAGGAGGCATGGCATTTACAGCGGCACCTAGCACTCTAAAATCAACGATAGAAATGGACTACTAACGATACCCTATTTTCTGCTTCAATGCGGTTTAGTTCCCTTAACGGCTAACACGCTAGCCAGTATTACGCTCCCATTCCAAAACTCAGTAATCACACAACGTCGCATCATACGATAGCAGGGGTCAACAAACCTACAAGAAGGCATCGAATCGGAGACAGTTCACCCAGCATCCACGCTAAAGTACTGTCGTCCAGTATCGATAATACCGACGGGGTCAGCTAGAAAAGAAAAAGTGAGTAAAGAACTAATACAATGATGGTGAAACCTAACCTGAACAATCGAAGGCGTATATTTCCTCAGTATGCCAGATAACAGATGTGGTTGAGAACGAAAATTGTCTGGGACAAGCAGCAAAAGCGCACCACTATAAAAGATTATAAGGTTATTCCTAGATCGATAAGCGAAGCTGTTGAAGTGATTTACCCTGAACAATAACTAACCTGACGAAAGAAAGGAACATTTCAACTATGGACGGGTCAAATAGAAAAGACGTGGAGCCCAAAATGATGTCTTCATGTGAAATCGAAAGCCTCTCTCTAAAATTAGTTCTTTAAAAAAAAAGAACAAATTTTTTATTCAGCTTGGTGAGCGGATGGAAAAGGCCTGATGCCTGAACGACGCGAACAGAGACAAACAAATATGAACCCTCGAATACTTAAAACACATTTTTATTAAAACTATCATGTTAGGTCACCCGTTTAAGGTGGCATGGCACTAGCAGGTGGTCAACAAATATGTGCATGTTTTCTAGAGCTCACAACCGAGATGTACAAGACTGTTATTCGGCGAACGTTTCTTTATGACCTTCTCCAAAGCCCCTCGAAAGATGGAATCCACTCAAGAAGTTACCCAACAATATTTCAAGGACAGTGCAAAATCCAACACAGTTTCCTAGCAGCTTGACTTTTNCCTTGGGTTCACAGCTACTGCCTTTTCGTTATTGTAAATTTCGACTGTCAACTCGATAAATGAAATTTCTAGGAAGAATGCAACATTCAAGGTTCATATGAATCAAAACGAATTTCAACCTGACTTCATCTGATTCAGTGAAAAGCCGATACAGGGGGAATCAAGCAGGATATGTTATGAAAGAACAAAGGGAAGGTGAGTTGTAGGACTTGAATTCGTAAGTTTTGATAAACAAAAGAATATTCAGAACCGAAGGAAAAAGCTTCCATTACCAAACCGAAGTAATGGGACTCGACAAGTAGGAATGATGGCAGAATCGGCTGGGAAGCATGGTTGATAAGGGAACATCTTATAATGGTGAAGGGCCCAAGTACAAGCTTGTGCGAGTCTTTTTATTGTTATATTTAAGGTCACGCCTGACAGCGGCAGGGCTGCAAACAAAAATCAGAAGAAAAAGCAAAGAGTAAAGGTTACCTGAAGTCCTCAATATTAGGTTCGATGCAAGAGTATGGAACGCCAACTAGTTTCGGTTTTCCAGTGCTACCAGATGTTTTGATTACATAACATAAATCGTTCGAAGCATCATCGATGCTCACATGACTGCGTGAAAACTCTGCCAGCTAAACATCATGTAGAATAATCATGTTGTAACCGTAGAAATGTTCAAACAAAAGTGTACATGAAGCTGCTTAAGCTAGCTAGGGAGTGATTTCGTGACCAACTGACTAGAGATTATACCTGCTTTCCATCGAAAAACCAACGAGCGTTAGACGATATTGCTTCGTCTTCTGACTGAACAAAGACAAAAGGTACTCGTTTCTCCAGAAGGCTGAAGGCAGTCATTTTGACGAGGTACAAACAACTTCCAACTGAACTTAATGTCTCACCATACAACTACACAAACAAGGTCCGCCGATCGCTTAATGCACAGAGCCACAAGTCCAGATGTGACATGTTCAAAAACACGTACTAATGAAGAAACTTTTTCTCGCACTTTGAAGGAGCATAGGAAATTCTCTTCACCAGAGTCATCGATCTCAAGTATCGAAAACTGCGATACTATCATAACGGGAAAGAAGCGAGCTACACTGAAATCGAATCCTCTTCGTCATTCAGTGTCAATTCAAGATTACAGCAACGAAAATTTTAGCATGGCACTCGCCTCTCACAGTAATCCGGCTCCGGGTCCTGTTTCGAACGAGGGCTCGCGGTGCAGCTCGGTCCCTGCTCAAGGTATCTTTTCGATGCGTCGTATACGTGACGAGTGAGGATTTGTGTATTCAAATAGGGTTATGCCGTGAAGAAAATACGTTGTCTGTAGAACTCTGCGTACATTGCATTTCATTTCACGTAAAGTCACTGTAGGAGCCCAGTGCCGGGGTGTGTGCACATTCGTGCGATTCGAGCTGCGCGCGGCAATTCGCGCGGCGAAATTCATTGCGATTCTGACGAATTTGGCGCCTATTATTGGGGTCCAGTTTCGCAGTAAAGTAGATAAGTAGGATTAGCTGACCATACCGATCTACTCTACTTCAAGTTTGTGCCCCAATAATAGGCGCCAGGGCCGTTCGAATGGTTACGAACTTCGCCACGCAATTTGCCGCGCGCAGCTCGAATCGCACGAATGTACCGTCCCCCCAGTGCCTATGAGATTACGTTCCTGTTTAAGAATGGAGACGAACATATTTACGAGAAGTAAGTATGATGGTCGATTCCGATTGCTCACGAATTTGTGAATGAAGCTGTTAGCTTGGGCAGCTGTCAAATTCTCTGCGTTTATTCTTCATCGCATAACTGAAGACTCTGTATTGAAGAAGTGAAAGCATTACAGTTCGTATCACTGAGGCAGTATTGTAGGGTATGGGTAGATTCATCGAATTCAGAATGTACCGGCAAAATTCATGGTGATGCAAAAGACTCTGTTGCCTATCATGGCTGCTTTTCGACTATTCTACCTGCGTGCGTGCCTGCACGCGCCTAGGTAGAAACCAATAGTGGAATCATGCCGAAAATAATATTTGCATAACGATTTAGGTGTATGAAGAACGCCAGAACTTCAGTAAGGAGGCGAATGGTCCGCGACTGAAGCACGCGGCAAATCGGTTACACGAAACCGATTCTACTGCCCGTCTCCCGAGTGTCTCTTATCCGTCCGCCTGGTGTCGCGGTTGGATTCGTTCTTCACGAGTGTAGTGCACACAGCAAGCCCCGGTAAATCGCGTCTCGTCTGTTGTACACTGGACTAACAAGGGAAGGCTCCCATCGAAGTGGTCATTTGGTATGAGCCTACACTGCTAGGCGTATTTTTTGATGCTTATTTCGAATCTGCATTCGAAATCTGTTAAACGATTCCCTGGACAAAGTTATGACGGTGGTCTCCGGAGTGCACCCAACACAGGTGCGCACGATGGACGTGGTCGCCTGCAAACCGGCAGGGACGGCTTGGGAGTAGAGGTAAGCGTGATGCTTTGTAGGCATGAGACCAGGGATCCGGTTTGGTGAGCGACGGAGTTTTTACATTGAGCAGAAATTTTTCCTCCAGGTTGTTAAAATCTTTTTATGTTGGTTTTACTTCCTTCAGCGACTTTTTGCTTGCTGCCTTTTGCCAGTTCCTTTAAACCATCCTACATCTACTCTAACCACCAACATGACAAAAATTCTATTGTTATACATTTCAAACTCACAGTAGGGTTACTTTTACCCATTATAAGCAGATGTGATAATCTAGCACGACATGTTTGGAACAAAGTTTTTCAAGCAACGAATAAAACCCTCTAAATGTGCTTGCGGCTTCCTCTCCATCAACGACTTCCACAGCGGATCGGCCTCCTCTTTTCAATCGCACAGTCTCCTTCGCACTCAATAGCGATGTCTTCGTAAGTGGCATCTCGCAAGATGGAAGAGAACCTACCTACCAACTTCTGCTTCTGATAGTGTGAGCGCGTTCGACATCAGAGGAACCGGTGTTCTTCAACAGGTGCGACATTACCTACTGTGGGCAGAACATCTCCTTGTTCTTTAGTGGTACCCACTACCGTACTTTGCCACCTGGCCCGCGCGGCAAAGTATTGTATATATGGATGGATAACACCAAAGAACAAAGGGTGTTCTTTTACCTTCCCTTTCTAGGAAGCTGACCACACGTACCACCTCTACTACTCTGAGAAAAACTCCTGCAAAATGCAAAAACGCCTCCCACCAAACCGATCCTTGGTCCCATGCCTATGAAGCGTCACGCTTACCTCTATTCCAAACCGATACTGCGGGTGTGCTGGAAACCATGTCTTTTGTGCTTGCCCATGTTGAACGCTCCCCAGAGACCACCTCTATAACTTCGTTCAGAGGATCGTTTGGTAGACTCTGAATGCAGATTCGTAATTAGCATCAAAAAGACGTTTAGCAGTGTTGAACTCATATCAAACGGTTACTTCGACCTGGGGATCTTCCCTTGAAAGTACAAGGACTCGTTTGAGAAAACATCCGTCTACCAGAAGACCGACAAGATGTTGCCTTGCCACATGCTTTCGTCTTTAGCATTAGATGTCGGCTTGTATGGTCCGATAGCTCTCGCCAACGTTTTCTAATACTCGATGGAATTTCGCGTTGGACTCTTCTTTATTTTTTCCATAAATATCTATGTAAATATATAAATATATCTATATACAGTAGCGCTCAAAAGTCTTCGGTGAAATGCTTCGACGCTTTTTCGTTCGTAACCTTTTTCTTAGTAGACCAAATCGCGCAAAATTTGGATATGTTTAACTAGAGC